CAGAATGTTGATAAGGAGCTAATTTTACCTTCCCATTGTGACAACATCAGGAGAGTATATTTGTGTCCCTGTTAGTCTATTCTGACTCGAAATTCATAGATTTTCAGTAGTGACAAATCTAATTTAACGACCCAATTCAAAAGAGTCAGTGTTTTTTGTAGGGACTTCCAGAGCACGTTTAACTGCAATTTACTTTTTTTTAGTTTGATGGTTCCTCTACGTGTTTTTTTCAATCTGGTTGTCTCTTTACGCACAGTTAATGACTTTTTACCTTTTCTCTTTCTTTTTGTACTTTTCACACCCTGTGTAAGCAACTTCCCTGTGTACAAAAAAAAAAAAAAATTTGGGTATAGTTTACTGATAAATTGTAGTTCCACGTATCCAGTACTCGCCATCTCGAAAGGTAAATTTTGGTACTGCTGGACGTCTAACACTGAACTTGAGTAAGATTCATCACCTACGATAAAATGTTTGCATGTTTCCCACTCATTAGCAATTATCAGCACAACTTGCAAGTGGATTTCCCCATTATTGTTCTGGTGGCCGTAGAGAATAAATGATTTTGATCAGAACAAACGGTTTACGTCCCCTACTATGGGTATTATTACACGTTCCATACTTAAACTTAAACTCAATTACCTCATTTTTCAATAATACAAAATTTACATTGTAGTTCAACGTATCCAGCGTACTCGCCATCTCGAGAAAGTAAATTTTGGTACTGCTGAACATCAAACACTCACCTTGAGTAAGATTCATCACCTATGTTAAATTGTGTATATGTTTTCCTCTCATTAGCAATTAATTATCTGTACAACTTGATTGTTCTGGTGGCCGTAGAGACGAATATTCCATACTCAAAACATAAACTCAATTACCACTTTCCTTCAGATCACTTTGCAGGAAAACTAAAACATTTCAAAAATATAAAATTTACACCAAAACATTAAAAAATAATGTTTAAATACATTTATAAATAATACTGTTACTGTTAACACGCATAGATTTTTTACTAAACTCTGTACTACATTAACATTTCACTTCATGACGGTTACCCCTATTGTAATAAAAATACTAAACGGCCCAATCCACTGTCACCTTTCGTATGTTGTATAATACCGATAATATATGTAATACATGGGATGGAATACATGGGATGGATTGGGCCGTTTAGTATTTTTAATACAATAGGGGTAACCGTCATGAAGTGAAATGTTAATGTAGTACAGAGTTTAGTAAAAAATCTATGCGTGTTAACAGTAACAATTTTGGTGAAAACGACTCTTTGACATATAAAAAACTAACAGTAAACCGTATATCGATCTTATTTAGTCCACGCAAAAACTACTCGGATTAAGGATCACCCTACTAAAACAAAGGTTCTACTTACAATTTTATCATTTGTAATCGTTAGTGGTTATTGAAGAATATATTTCCCTCGGAAAAACATAATATGTTACACCGAGTAGTAACTATGTTACATATACTTTTTATACATCGAGTTAAAAGTCGTCCAACACCCGAAAGGTAAATCACAGAATATATATAAATTCACAGTAGGCCTATAAATAACTTGACGTAATGTTTAGTGTTACGTAACCATTAAAAATATTAGCAGATCATAGTACATGTATACATATTGTCATTTTTTGTGTAATTTAAAACAGATTCTAAGCAATGCGTTCACCTACGATGAAACTTAGCAGCATTTAATTATTGCAATGGTTCTACGCATCATCGACTGTTTTTACTTATCCTAAAATCGACGCACGGCTCGAGTAAATACGGAGTGAGGAACTGCTACCAGTGCTACCCGGCCTCGAACGCCGGAAGTGGCGCGGAGGGGGGACGGTCGGTAGTGATATCACTGAATCTAAATATCAAGTAGCATTATCCCTCCGTACATCGTTAGTTATATATAAACATCGAAAAATAAACAATTCTATTTTAAGGAGTTTATTAACAATCTGTTTTCAATTAGCCAATTTGATATCTTGTCTAAATCTTTTCTTATTTTTAGTTTCAGCGACCTTTTATTGAAAGCTGAGCACACAAGAGCTGTGTCATCAGCATAGGCAAATATTTTTGAACATAAATCAAGCTCCAGCAAATCGTTTATATATATCAAAAAATAATGGGGCCCAAAACCACTCCTTGAGGGTTGTCAAATTGCAAATCAAGCACTTCACTCAAAACATTATAATCAATCACGAGAAAATTTACAAAATGAATTTAATTTATTGTACCGTAAACACCCTTGTTTGTATAATTGTTCTTGCAGTTGTATTGAAGTAGTAGAATATGTTAAATATCTAGGATTGTTTGTTGATCATCATTTAAAGTGGGAGCAGCATGTAAAACAACTTTCAATTAAATTAAGGAAAATAAATTATGCTTTATATCACTTAAGAGACAACATTAAGAGTGAGCATTTAAAAAAGGTATACATCTCCTGATTTGAAAGTGTGATGAGATATGGAATAGTACATTATGGGGGTACTTATCCTACCATATTACAACCTGTCATCACGAACCAAAGACATGCACTGAGGGCTGTTTTTGGATTAAAAAAATATGATAGAGTAAGTTATCTTTTTGAACATGAAGAGCTTTTAACCTTCAATCAATTGCACGTAAACTCTTTGATTATGTTTGTTTTTTAATATCCGTTTCCGTACATGTTTAAAATGAAACCTGTCAATAGAATATCTCGATCAGCACAATATTACTTGTTAGCAGAAAGGAAACTAGTAGACATCAGTTTTGTTGTCTTGGTCCAAAAATGTTTAATGCGTTTGTAAAAATGTTCGGTAATGAAGTTTATAATGATAAAAGGTCTGTGATAAAGTCAAAAGCTTTGTTGTTTTCTATCAATCATAATATAGCATAACTAATCTGTAACTTATTTTTAGCTTTGTTTTAGATAAATAAATATTTATATTTGCATGTAGAGTTTATTGTCTTTCTAAAAACCGTGTTCTTATTAAATTATTCTAATTTGTCTAAGTGTTATTTATATGATTAAAGCTGTTGCAATAGGAAATGTCTACTCACTGTTCTGTTTAAGTGACAAAAAGGAAAAATGAGCTTTTTTCTGCCAGAAACAAGAAAATGAAATGTATTAAGAAAAATATGTTTTTCATCCCGCGCGTGCTTTGCATGTCACAAGGGATTATGTATTTAATAAAAAAATTGCATTAATTAAAATTGTTTGAATTGAATTGAATATATACATATATAAAAATTTTAACGAATGGTGTTTTTGGCCTCTGGGGACATCAAAATGAAAGAGTAAATCCATCCCGGGTCTAGGTCTTACCATGCCACCTACGGTAATAGCTTATTTCCCTATAAGGAAATTCGCTAAAAATGACACCAAAAATGATTGAAGCAAAAGTTATCAGTGGTAAGTTTAAAGGAGAAATAGTCATAATCCAAAGAATAATGATGATTTCATCCGAATTACCCTCTGAATTTAAGAAACTAAAATTTCCTTTTTGTCTTGCTTTCGCAATAACCATTTTAAGACACCAGGGCAATCCCTGACTGTCATCGGTTTAAATTTAGAAAATGCATGCTTTCACAAGGACAGCTGTACACATATATATACAAATATAACAATTTTAACGAATTGTGTTTTTGGCCTCTGGGGACATCAAAATCAAAAAGTAAATCGGTCCCGGACCTAGGTCTTACCATGCCACCTACGGTAATAGCTACTGTACTTTCTTATAGGGAAATTTGCTAAATAGAATCTAAAAACTTTAAAAGGTACCTATCTAATAACTTGTTGAATTATTTACATTGAACACTATTTTTAAATAGAATATGCAATAATCGTTACAACAACAACAACTTCATACCTTAATATTTTATACGACAGTCAAAGACTCCACTGTTTGTGATTACGCATTTTTATTGGTAAATAAAAGGTATACAATGCTTAGCTCTCCACTGAAAAGTCAATCAAAATATAAATTATCACCTTGTCAAAACTTTAACATTATTGAACTAGCCACATTAAGTTGCAAAGAGAAAACGAGACTGCTGTCGAGTAAAAAAGTGTAAATACTCGAGTATGAGCTTTTATTGAAACGTGACCAGTATACCTACAATATGATGTATAAGTTAAATCCTACTTATAAAAATGTATTTCTGCGTTTATGTATGTTAGTTTCTACCTTTTTATGTAGTTTAAACTCATCCTTTTAGTGGGTTGAATGAATAAAGTACAAGGTTTTCGGCACTTTTCTAACAAAGGGCTATTTTTACACATAACAAAAAAACAACTGATGTAATCATTATGAAATTTTAACAGCTATTAGAAAATATACTTATAAAACATATTTATATGTTTTAAAATTTTTCATCGGTAAAAAAATCTCTTACGATATTTGTAATGTAATAATTGGCTTTTTAATTGAGAGACGGAACAGTTAAGAAACTCAGCTGAAAGCTTGAATTAAAGGTATTAAAAATGTAAATTTGATTTGCACATTGTGTGCTAACACATATTTGAGTCACACAGCTGAGTGGTCTTCAATCATAAAATGCACGTATTATCAGTAGTTGAGCGCTGGCGAACGGTGCCTGCTATCTGACTGTGGCAACCACTGTAGAGACTTCTGGCCCAGACTGTACCGTTGGAGGTTATGAAATTTGGACATTATGAACCGCACTGTTTATTTGGTATCTTATCGTTGGAGTTTGTGAAATTTGGACATTGTGAAACAGTGATTATTTGTATGTTATAGATTTGGAGCTTATGAAAATTGGAGGTTATGAACCACTCTGTTTATTTAATATTTTAAGCGTTGGAGTTTGTGAAATTTGGAGTTTATGAAACGCTCCCTCTAAAAGTGGGTCATTCAAACTATGTTCTAAATGTATACAAAATTAGCAAAAGCAGGTGTTTGTAGAGTTATGTCTACTTCAACATCCCAAAGTAATTGCCTATACATAACTTACACTGTAATTGACAGGGTATTTTCTGTTTGCAGGTGTATTATTGGCAGCAGTGATAGCACTGCAAGGCCCAGTGGCAGTGGTCGGGGACGGCAAATGTACCTACACTCGGGAGTTCAAGATGCTGGGAGCAAACTGCTTCAACCAGAACTTCGAGGAAATACCTCAGAACCTGAATAAAGACATTGAGGTAAATAACGTTTGATTTACTCCAACACTTTGTATGTATATAATGGTTTTTATGAAAATAAATTAGACAACTTTAATATTTGATTGTTTTTAAACTACTGTATCATAAAATTTCTAAAATATGCAAGAAATGTTAGAGATTAAATAATATTAAATTGCCAACACACTAGGGTGCATATTTTAAAGCAAATATAGAGGAAGGATGAGTTTTGAATGAGATGACATGTTTGATACAAGCTAAGATCTGCTGGTTCTTGAGCCAGAACTATTTATAAGCCCAATGATCAGGGACAGCTACAGAGAAGTAGGTAGGAGAAGTAAGCTCATGGGACAACTGTGTGCTTTCAGCTGTTGTTCAGTATGTTGGGGCGGAAATATACTTGGGATGAGCAAGGAAGAGCCTGAACTGTGCGGAAACTCCTATAACAGGGCACAGGGTTTCCTCCACCATGAGCGTTGTAGTATGTGATGGCGAGAGGTTCGGAGGAAGGTCATTGCCCTAGACACCAGTACTAGAGCTGTACACCACTTAAGTCTACCATTGAATGTTTCCTCTGTGGGACAGCTAAGTCCAGTTTTAAACCATAAAAAATCTGTTGATTTTTTTCAGGATCCAATCAGCCCTTTTTGATTGTTAGGTGAACACTACATCCTCTCAGCTTTCCACATAACCATGTGAATTTTCATCTCAATATGTAGAGAAAGAAATTTTGTGATCACTCGTCATTGGATCAGACTATAGATTAGATTATGTTAGTTGACTTACTTGACTTATTTCCTGTCGCTCCTTCCTGCGCCAGATCCCTCAGCTGACCCCAGGTCTCTCCGACACTCGAGGCTTCCCTCGCCTTCTTCTGTCACAGGGTCTTCCCCGCTTTCTTGTCCCTTGGGGATTCAATTCAGAGGCCTTCTTTTCAATTGCCTCATCCAACTTCCGAAGAGTGTGGTCCAGCCACTTCCCCTTCTAACTTCTGATTTCCAGGCTGATCTGTTTTTGCCCCGTTGCCTCCCAAAGCTTTAACATTTTTAAATTATGTTAGTTTCAAAGAATCATTGCTTACACATTCTTACACTTTCCAGATTTTGTACGCAGCAAAGAATCGGATACGCAAGATTACCAACTCCAGTCTGCGGGATTATACATCTCTGAAACTTCTCTACCTTGGGGACAACCTCATCACCAAGATTGAACCCGGGGCCTTCAGTGAACTTACAGACCTTGAGGTAAAGAGTTTGAGATTTAAATTGTTTAAGAACATTTTTTTCCTCCTATAAACTCCATATTGCAGCTAACAAACATTTGACAAAATCATCAATCTTGGTGTACGGCTTTTGATCTATTGAATGAGTTGGTAGCCCAATGGATTTGGTAACTAAGACACAACTTCAGTCATGTTACCTAAAGTTTAGCAGTACAAGCTTATTAAGATTATTCCTTACAAGCTTATCCTCTGCTGTGCTTGGTACATTTCATTCATGCACAGATCTCTAAATTGAGGTAACTCCTAGATGAACTGAAAATGCTTTTTATAGGCTCTTTACTTTTATTTTACACTATTTTAAGTTTTCTCTAATTTCCCAGTTAGAGGTGTGTGAATTTTTCAACTACTTTCTCCCCCAAAATGCCCTGACATTTTCTGTTAATTTACTGAAAACAGTTAAGCACATTTTTGTCACGCCTAGTAAGTGTCCTAAACTATGTGCTGCGATCCCCCATTATAGTTAAGCGTTTATTGTCTGTAACCGTCAAGACTGTATACTAATGACAGTGATCCGCAGGTTCTAGACTTGAGTCTGAACGCAGTCCACACTCTCCCCACAGACCTACCGCTGCCGTTACGCAAGCTTTACCTGGCAGACAACATCGTGCTGCAGAACATATCTCTGACGGCTGCCTTCAACCTGGCCTACCTCAACATGGCCGGCTGTGAACTGCGTCATTTTCCTTCCCTCGGGACCCTGCCCAACCTCAAGGTTAGTACATATTCAACTTTGTATAGAATTAATTCTGTTATACAATGTTTTATGCAAAAATTGTATTTTATTTTGTGTGTTATGCTATGCAATGAGTGTTATGATTTCCAAGTGTAGTAAGGAAACTGTCCAAAGTCTGGTCTCCTTACAATCTAACGATAACCATCTGTTATAATTTTTTGATAGCCGGATGACGAATGGGTGAGTCTGGAATTGAACCAGCAAATTTAAGATTAGCCTTTAAATCTGGAGGATGCTGATTTTGATTCCAAACAAGATCAATTCTAGACACAGGCGCCACTCGTTATTGGGCTGTCAATTAATGATGCTAAACATCAAAACGTGTATGTTAAACCTAGTAACAAAAAGGGTCTGGACTGTTTTCTTACAAAAAAATAAAAAACCACTTTGGTAAAACACAAAATAATGGTTTAATTTTACTTCAAAGATAGCCATTCAATGTATAGAGTTTTATCTGAGTTTGAATATGATTTTATTGCATTTCCTTGACCTATAGGAGTTGAACCTGACCAGTAACCCATTGGAGTCAGTGACACCTGCTGACCTAGCGCCACTGTGCCGCCTGGAGAAGCTGTACTTGCCGCCTACCTTGTACCACCTGCCAGGCGTCACCACTCAGTGCCAATGTCACCGCCTGCTTACCTGGACCTCTCAGCGGTACATCGCTCTGCCTGGCTTCAACTGCACGGCTCTCGGTGAGACTATCATTTAGACAGTGATGTAGACGTAAATGTTTCAGTCAGTAGGGGATTGCTTATGATTATCTCGGGAAAAACACAAGTCACCTATTAACTCTCCAGGGCCGCACTTTGGTGGAAATGACAGAAACACACACTGTTTTGGTCATTACTAGAAGGGGAAAACACTACGAGGTTTGCCCTCGCAAATAGTCCTCAGGGATTGGTTGAGCCATGAAATGGCAGTGGTAGGGTGGACTTAGTTCCAAGTTGATCGTCACAGTAATAAAAACCCGCCTAAGATCAGTCATTAGTAATTTAAACTCTGGTGGTTTCTGTACTTTAAATACAGCTTCTTGAGTTTAAGTTTTGTTAAGACCATTCTGCAATACAGTTTTGTGTCCTTATCCTCCCACTCTCTTGTGATTTGATATGATAAAAGATTCACACTTGACTGTACCAATCTGTACCAGCTTGAATGATTCTTAGTTAACAGTTTCACATTTTTCAGACGACCCAGACGCTGCGGCTTGCAATGTGGATATGACAGAGGAGATGAAGATATTCAAGACTTGTCTGGTGGCCACCCCGGCATCAACCACTCGTTATTTGCTGATAGGTGTGTTGATAGGGGCTCTAGTGGCTGCCTTTGTCATCGTTGTGTGCTGGTGGCGCAAGAGCAGAAGGAAAAAGAACTCTGTGCAGGACCAGAAACGATCAGAAAAGACCAAGAACGCTAAATCTGTGGACACGCTGATAACGTGATCTATTTTTCCACGACAGCAACGACCTTCCTTAGCGTAAGCGATTTTATCTCATCCCCAGAGTTTCAAGTTTTAAGGAGATGCCAAAGTAAAACTTTGAATATCAGTGATAACTGATTTCATCCAAAATGTTTTAGATGTGTAATTTGTAGATGAGTTTTAGGTTTTGATAAGCAGGTTTACTTGTTACTCGAGGTTTAGTTGGGAAGTTCATCGAGTGTTGTTCTTTGTGAACAAGTATGGTATCAAAAGTTTGTTTGGAATGGTTTGAAGGTAGTTTTCCAGATTACTGCTTCTTCCATTCTATCTTATGAAAGGTTTTGAAGTTTGTAACAATGGAAGGAATAGGATAAAGAGTATTTGACAGACAGGGTTGCCACAGACTGGGAATTCTGGGAAAACTGGGAATTATGTGAGAGTTTTGTAATATCTTTGAAGGGAAACCTGATTTTAGTCTGTGGTCACGGCAAAATTGTGAAAGTTTTCAGTGGTCATGTTAAAATCGTGAACATCTTTTGAGGTGACTACAAAATTGTATACATCTGCGTCACAGTGACATCATTGTGTCTCCCACGATCGCAGAAAAATTGTAAATTTTCGATCTCACATCTTCGCAAACGCTTTCTGTGTTTGCTTTTCTCTTTGCTTTTCTGTCCGCGCTCAACTGCTTCGGCTTGGCATGACTCAACCTGACTCAAAAATATCATAAACCTGCAGACCCCAAGTAAAATGTAGACCTAAATCACAACTGAGAAAGCCCTGAATTTTTTCAGGGAGGTTTGTGGCCACCCTGGTCTAGTAAAAGTATCTCTTAATTATTTTAAAAAAGTAATTTAAATTGCTCTTCCAAACAAATACAGTAGAAGGAATGTGGTACACAAGTAAATTACGCAAGGAAAGAGTTCCACTGGTTTAAAGCACACTGGAAGTTCACAACACAACAAGACTAACTCAATATTTCGCACCTACAAGGAGACTTATTTTAAAAGAGAGTAGGAGAACGGATTATTGTAGAATTATTGTAGATAGGAGCGGGAATATCAAGTTACTGTAATTAATTGTGTTGTCTACTTCCTGTGTGCTTTAATCTGATTGGAACTATTTTTTTGGGTAAATTAGTTGTGTATCCATTCCTTCTTCGTTGCATTCCTTAGACAAGTGATTTTTCCTCCAAAAAAACTCTTCCAAACAAATGTAAAACTTAATAAAAATCACAATGTATTTATTTTGCCAATTTTCTAAGATGCTCAATCTTGAGCCAGTAGGAGATGTAGCAAAATTAAAATCTTCTATTATAAAAGTAACTTAGTTAAACTCCCAACGCAAGCAGTTACTTAAAATTTGCAAACTATTGATTTTGAAATAATTTGAAACCATCAAGTCATTCTTACTTTGATACCATAATCAAAGGTAAGTATTGATTGTTTTCAAGTCGATAAGACCACTTAGAAATCGTAAGTGATGAAATATATAACATTAAAAATACATTATTTTCCATTCCCCTGCTTATTCTATACTGTTAATTTTAAAATAAATTAACATCTATTATTAAAACCACTGTTATTAACTGTACTTACTGAGTTTAGACTGTTTTCAACCTTGTACTTAATCAATGCATTTATTTTTTACATCTATTTTAGGTAGTGTTCTGGTACAATAATAATGAACTTTTCTCTCGTCATAGTCTATTTATTCTTGGTGATAACCTCGAACAAATGTTGTTATTAATACATGGGTAAGTGTATATATATATTGTTGTATTTATCGTTGTTTCACTTGTATGTTGGATACTAACAACTTGGAACGTGTCAGGAGCTTGTTGTGAACAAGGTAGCAGTTTGTATGTTTAAAAAACATGTGATAGTTTGCCTTGCGTGGGGTAAATGGCTGTGCATTTATTTACTTCTTGTAGAATAGCTCTCTATTTATATACTATCTCTTTCCTGCTGTTTATTAAATGTCTGTAAAGCCGCGTTTACGTGAGGCCAGTAGGTAGGCAGACAGGTTGCCTGAGGTAAAATGGCTACTGGCCTTGTGTAAACACGGCTTTAGTGTAAATAATTGTAAAAGGTTTGGGTACAATTCAGTTGGTTAAACAGTCGCAAAGTAAATCTTAGAGGTTTTCTGCTACTAGTCGTTTATATAATTTGTTATAGCACTATCGTAAACTTTCTTCCTTTATCATGGATATTATTTAATTCCACTCAAGCAAAACAAATGAGCTATGTAACTCAAAACTAATTTTTGAGAAAATGGGTTATTCTTGTGATAAATAGTATCTTGTGTTTTAATTATTTAATAACTGTACCAATGGTTTGACTCTATTTGGTTAGTTCCGTAATTCAGTTTAAATCAGTTTACACAGCTGAATTTTCTTTTGATTTTGAAGAGTTCAGTTGTATCAAATTGTCTTACCGAAGAGGAGAAAATAGGGTCTTGGTTTTGAATCCTTGCAAGTTTGTATTCATATAATATAGTTTTTATATTCATTAGTTAAAAATAAACATTTGTTTTCTTTTACTGTTGACATTACAAAGAGTAATTTCTTTTCCAGCCTACATTCTTGTTTCCTTTTTTTCTTTTTTGTATATATGACTCATGATACGTTTTTACCCCTGCAGTAGTAAAAAAAAATATGAGCGGAGTTAAACCTTAGGATTTTTACGCAGATGTGTGATACAGTATTTAAAATCGTTTGTGTGGCAAAATGTTATAGAATTTTGAAAATAAGCCAATGGAAAGTAATTAACTAGGAATTTAAATCCTGATAAATGTTTACTTTTTGGTTGCATTATAAGGAGTTCCCAGGTAAATTTATAATTATCATTATTATTTTAAATACTAACACTTGAATTCAACAGTGGGAAACATTTTGAAATGGTATATTTATATTGGTAATGATTAATTGTTTACAAATTACTTGGAATTGAATGTTAGAAAATGCAGGGAGTTGGCCTGTATGTTATTGTATTTAACATTGTTTCTTCTTTCCACTGCTTCTATATTGTAAAACGTATTACAACATACTCTGTTAAAAGATCATAAAAAAATCCAATTTTGTGTAACCTGTTTTGTGTGTTAGGTTTGAGAGAAAATGTAAATATAATTTTTATGTAATTTATTTTTATACGTTAGTTTTGTAAAAATTATTGTAGCTAATTTAGTAGTAACGCAATTCATATAATTTAATTTTTTCATAAATTTACAAAGGGATGTCGTAGTACTGGAGAAAGCATTTATACAGTATACACAGTCACAGTATTAAATAAACTGTATAGGTCTACTGTCATTTCTTTTGTACATATATACTGTTACAGTAATAGGTATTTATTCCGTGAGTCTTTTCATTTTATTTCTAGTTACGTAAGTGCAATAATCTTTAAAAACAGTTAACATATGTTTTCAATAGAAATGTTCAGATATTCCAACAAACTTCCTTGTGTGCCATGACTAATATTGAGCAAGGCTAAAGTCTTGTCAACATTGGTCTCTAAATAGAGATAATACTTGTTACGGTGTAAAGTCTGTTACATTTTAAAATACATTTAACGTTTCTAATATGCCAATTATTTGTTAATCAAAGTTCACATCTTTGTATTCTCTGTAAGTCTTTAAAATGAAATAAAGATACTTTCATCCTATATTTTGTTTTCTTGAGAGTTTATACCATCCCAAGATACATTTACAATGTAACTGAAACTACAACACAAGAGATGCTCATTGGTGTTGCTGCAATTTTGGTACATAATACATTATTGGCCAGTAGCGGATCCAGAGGGGGGACAAAGGGGGCGACCGCCCCCCCTTTACGCATACATATATATATATTTTTTTACTGCATGTAATACAATAGTGCATACACATTACACATTGTGTAAAATAATCTGCCACACTAACTTTGGACAAAGAAATGGTATAAATCTGCCATTTTGGAGACTAAGTTTATACAAATTTTTCGAACCCAAATCCCCCAAGCCCCCGGTTCGAACCCCCCCTTGTTTCTGTTCTAGATCCGCCACTGTTATAGGCTAATAGTGGTGCAACAGTGCCAGTGTGAACATGCCAATAAGTGTACAGTATGTAATCCGCTTCAGCTGGAGCCAGTACTTAAAACATTACTCGTCTGTGGTGCTGTTGACTCATTTTGGGAACTCGGGAGCATTTGTTTGTTGGTGAGGTAGCCTCTGGATTACTAAATTTAAATAGTTTATATGTTACCTGGCTTCGTCAAGTGATCCTTTTTGAGTATTTACAACCATAGTTTTCGGACTTCCATCCAGAAATACATCATCAGGTAAAACAAAAACATCGATGAAGTCATTAAACCGATTCGGTTAGATTCGTCGTTAACTCTGAGAAAACATATACACGAACACGACAAAAACATGGAAAACAAATAAATTACACTGTAAAACTAGTCAGTGTAATCACGGGGGAGACATGTGCTGCAACGCCAAAAGATGAGTTATGACTAAGAAGAATTCATTTTTTTATGTTGCCTGTATGATATCTTTCAAGAAAGTAAGTTGTTTCTATGAATATAAAGTTCTTGGCTGTTTAAATTTGTTTAGATAGCATTTAACTGAACCTTTGACCAAAAGTAAATGTAGGTACCTATATATTTTTTACAGAGATGACTCACTAGGTGAAGCGAAGTGATATCAAAATGAATACCTGTATTGGTTGGATGTGGAATACAAAAACATTCCAAAGGATACATAAACATGATTATTATAAATAAACTAGGTTACTGCACTACAAATATATTTTTTCAATAGTCACAAAATGGTAAAGTTATTTTAAGAAGTAGTATTTTTTTAATAATTTTACCATCAGTTCACATTTTTTATTGCTAATTCTGTCAGCGCCCGGCCGTTGTGACGAACCCGTCCCAACGGGGACGCGCCAAGGTCCGCGGCCAACAAGGTCTACGACCACCAACCTGACCTACGATTGGTGGTGCGAAATGTCCGAGCTGAACCGGGTGAAGGGGATGTAGTCGTGTTTGCTGCCGGTAGACCTTGTTGCCAGTGGCCAACGCATCTGTTAGGCTGGTACGGTCAGGACAAAGTCTCATTTACATAACTAATATGCATTTGTTTATTGATACTATCATTATTATAGTATTTAAATGGGATAAGAGTAAGACTAATACAAAAGTAACCCGTGTTATATATTTGTATAGCATTTTTGCTACTAAGATAAATAAATCTGGTTTCTGCTTATTTTCTTGGAATAAAAAAATCCTTTTGTATTTTTTGAAGTTAATTACCCTTTTCGAAACCCTCCTATAGTAGGTGAATAATTTACTTTAAACTTTGCAATGTTAAATAAATATTTTAAAATCAGAACGATAATTAAACTTTTGGCCAGAAGATATCATAATAAGTTTTATTTTAAAAAAGGCAACTTAAATTTTTGGGGAATGCTATTATTGTATTAATTGTAATAATAGATGAGTGAACGAATCTTCTTACTACACTTATATTAACAATTGAGTTATTTGATTTTACAAGGAAATCATTGTAAAAATAAAGCTTGTTATACATAGCCGGCACTTATTGTATATGTATGGCTGAGTACCATACGAAACAACGCCTGCAAAAACTAGTATACCTTTTGCAAACTCCGCTGTATTGTGGGATGACAGGAACGCCTTTTCCATTCATTTAATCAATGGATTGTTAATCTTTGTTGCTTTTAATAATATTTTATTTATGCGCTGCTATGTTGTAGTTTTGTAAAATTTCTCAACATGACATCATATTTCCAATTATTGTATTGTACTTATTAGAAACTAATTTTAAATATCTCTATTTGCGTCGTCAAGGCTCACTTACATTACCGGTATTTATGCTCTCAGTTTTAACTGATGACTTCTAATGAATGCTAAACGATCAGCTTCAATTCGAGGTAACATGCTGCAATAAAGTGTTTCCAGAATCGAGAACTTAAGAAAATCTTATATGCCTTACTGATAACCTGTGTTAAGTAATTTAAGTCGAGTCATTTTATTTCTTTGATTTGAGACATACACCAACCTACTCAAACGAATTTTCTCCGTAGAGAATCCTGAAAAATGGGGTGATATCAACCATTTCATGTGCTACATGTTTTAACACAGAATACAGTACCTAATACAAATACCCCCGCCGCAGCAAACCTGCCGACTAAGCGAATTTCCATTTGTCTGAATTGATTTTCAGATAAATATATTTTAATAACATTAGGTTTAACGAGTACCTAGGTTTGCTGCTACAAGGAAACTAGTAAAGTGTGTTTTTGAGTAAAATATTGATAGCTTAGTACAAAATAAATAAATTTGCCAAGTTTGATCAAAATATATCCATAAACAAGCAAACTACAACATTTGACAATATTCTCCATAAGAATAACATGGGAATTTTTAAATTTAAAATTTTTTTAATTTTATCCGTTACTAATAATCGAATAAAAATACTTTTATATACTAAATTATTTGTTTTTTTAAGCTCTTTAAAAAGGTCTAAAGAGAAATCGGGAAATTTTGTGTTTTGAGGGTCAAAAGTGAGAAAAACCAATTTTTACCCCATAAAACACCCCGTAAAGCCCCGTTCCCATGGTCCGATCGTGCTGGTTTGCGAACTCATTCAAGTTTATCCCGCTTTACACCTTTAAACCAAATTTCATCAAAATCGGACAAAAATTACTCAAGTTATCGCGTTCACGGACGTATATATATATATATATAAGTCTATATATATATATATATACATATATAAGTCTATATATATATATATATATACATATATAAAAATTTGAACGAATGGTGTTTTTGGCCTCTGGGGACATCAAAATGAAAAAGTAAATCGGTCCCGGGTCTAGGTCTTACCGTGCCACCTACGGTAATAGCTACTTCCCTAGAGGGAAATTCGCTAAAAAACACACTTATTTTAATAAGGAAATAAATTGAAAGAATAACAAACAAATAAGTACAGCTAAGGTATTTTTAACATTAGGTATATGGAAAGTTCGCTTTAGAAATGAATTATGACCTTAAAGGGCAATTTACGAAATAATGGATAGTTTGGATAGTAATGGAAGTTTGACAGTTTAACAGTTTGCTACAAACACTTGGTTGAAATGAAACATTTTACTACAAGTGTACATGTTGCTCGAAATCGAGCAATTGCGAAGAAGTAAAGTACGGTAGTTGTTTAAAAACAAATAACTTATTTAAAACCTAATAAAAGTCATAATTTCCGATGAGTTTAAAAGACTCAACTCATAGATCACGTACCTAACAGTACCATATAATCAACATTTCTTGTAAATATTTTATAATTTTTCAAAAGCTGATCTAGTTTTTTAGTGTATTCTACAAATATTTCCCACTTATAGCCGCATTAGGTTGTCCATGTTGATCTTCGTCAATGATAATGTAGTCTGCATGGTACTACCCATTGTTGCCAGTACGTTTACAAATTTCTGTAATTTTTTTACAACGATAACATTTTGTTTACGTTACTTAAGAACTGCCTGATTTTCTGCATAACCTCTCTATCACAATTGTATTTGCTTCAATTGGCAATAATTTGGCTAGTTACTGTTATAACGTATGTTATATAATTGAGTACACGTATATTCAATTATATACGTGTATACTCAATGGATAAATTTACCTGAAAAAATGCAGGATTGAAAGGCCTAATATTGTTTAGATGGTTTTTTGTTTCCCTTAAATGTGAATAATGCAAATCCTTCAATGAAAGTTTTATTAAAGTTTTTTGGATGTAGTCATATTATTTTAAATCTCTTGACTTTTAATAAAACATATATTTAATGTCCTTGCCGTAACAGTTTAATTCAGCCTTAGAGTGTTTTCCTTTGCCAATAATCATAAAGTTAAGTCCGTGTTTCCTACAAAATATTAACACTTCGACTAACATCCTTGTTCATTTTTTGTGGGAATATTCATACTGTAGGTGTTCTTCATTATATAGGAGGTAAAATATATCAAATTGCCAAGGCTTTTTAGATTATTTAAATTGTAAATTAAAGTAGTACATTTATTTCATTTCTATTCAGCCAAAATCAGTAAATGAACCCAATGCGTTTCGTTGAATTGAAAGATAAATAACAGCAATTAAATTATACAGCTGATCAAAATGTAAACAATTATGTTCTTCAGAAGGAAAACATGGGAACCTTTAAAGCCACTGGGGCAGAGCTTAAGGGACTTTTTCATAAATGTAAGGTCAGTTTGCAGATCTACTCGACACGCTCTTTCCAATGAGACGTCAATGGATAAAATCGGTTAAGAAATGGCGGAGGAGTTCAACCGACAAAGTTTCATATAGCGTATTAATTATAAAGATTTGAATTTGGGTTGGCGCAAATATTACAATAGAAAAAAGAGAGAGAGCCTGGATGAATTGATATACTAAAAAGAAAACAGCAACAGGGACACTATAACAGTATATCTATCTATTACTTATTTAATACGCAAGCAGGTTTTTTGTGACAATTACTCCTCCGAAACTACTGAACCGATTGGCATGTTTTTGGTATCATTGGAAAGAGCGTAACGTGAAGTTGTGCAGGAAACCTTCTGCTTAGGGAAATAATAAGAGAATGAGGCCCAGAGGTCCTTTAA